CTTTGTGTCAGCGATTCAATACTTCTCTTAAGTTCAGCACTGCTTACCACACTCAAACGGATGGCCAAACCGAAGTAGTAAATCGCACTCTCGGTAACCTTCTCAGTTCCATCTCTGGCGATCGTACGAAGCAGTGAGATCTTGCTCTGGAACATGCTGAGTTTGTTTATAACTGTATGGAGAATCGAACTACAAGCAATGCTCCCTTTGTGATTGTGCATGGAAGGCTTCTGAATCATTATCTTGATATTGCTCCACTACCTAAGCTTCTCGGACAGAGTGTACCTGTAGATCATAGGGTTGAAAAGATACGGGCTATCCAAAAGGAAGTAAAGGAGAAGATAGAGCAGTCTAATTTTAAATATAAGGCTGATGTTGATCGACATAGGAGGAAGAATGTGTTCGAAGAGGGAGACATAGTGATGGTGTTTTTGCGAAAAGAACGTTTTCCCGTGGGCACCTACAACAAGCTGAAGAATAAGAAGTACGGTCCATGCAAAATACTAAAAAAGATTAGCGACAATTAATATTTATGCGGTCGACCTTCCTACATATTTGGGTATCTCTCCTAGCTTCAATGTTGCAGATTTGTTTGAGTATTACCCGCCAAAAGAAACAGCTGTTCATGCAAGTATAAGCTCGGGGTCGAGCTCTTTTCAAGCAGGGGGTTGATGTAGAATACAAGATAAACATGTTTATGTTAAAGTGGGACAGTTGCAAGCTCAAACGCGGGCCAGGTCGAGGAAAATAACTTGCTACGAAGAAACGACCATAACTTTCAAACCGTAAGTCGGAATTGGACGAATTATATATGAAAATTAACTATCTCGACGAGATAGAGACAACCAAACCGACCCTTAAGGGTTCTGTTTACTTCCTCCGTTTCGCCAAATTCCTTACGGTTTGAGAGATTTCTGTATTTTTATCCGTTATTACTATTTTTAATAATGTTTTAGGAGTCTGTATTGATTAAGAAACAAATCCGATTTGATCTCAGATTTGACCGGTGGACTTTCCTAGTCATAAGGGGTCTTTTTATGAATTTTAATATTTTAGGAATTTTTTTACCATTTTTGATAAAGTTTGAGTCCTTGTAGGAGTTTGAGTAATTGTAGAAGTCTTATTCTTTTTTCAATTTAAGTAGAGTCTTGTAAGCCCTAAAGACATAACTTTTAATTAATAAAATTTTATTTTTTCTTCAATATTTACTTCGTGGATTCGAAGATTGTCCTTGTTTCGAGGCTACTACTTTCGCGCTGCGTCACATCTCCTCTACAAATAAGAAAAGACTTTCATCTATCACAGAGGATAGAAAGCAGTCAAAAATGTATTGTACTATGAAGGCAGGAGAACAAACAATTAGCTGACAGGATATTTTAAACACACAAGTGGACGATGAAAGGGCTGAAAAGTGTAACTACTAATTCTCTAGATACATCTATCTAAGAAACATCCATCACAAACCTTTTAAGTTAACATAATTGTTACAATGTAAAAGAGAGAGAGAGAGAGAGAAAAAGATTTTCCTCATATATATTGGTCTCCAAATTTTAAACTATTTTCACTAAGTCCTCAAGATCTCATATATTTAAGATGTAGGACTTTGTTAAAGAGTACGTGCACAAGAAAGAAGGAAATTTTAGCCGGTTAGGGAGGGTCAACTTTTTTTTTTATAACCGAGTCTGCGATGATGATTGTTTGGGAGTTTTTTTTGAGGGGTTAAGAGGATGGAATGGAAGTTTAGTTTTCCTTCTATTTTCCTCCTCTAGCTCCAATTTGGGTGGCAGAGGATGGAATGAAAAAGTGTGTAAAACTTTACAATGTGATAAGACAAGTATACCCTTGTGACATTAAAATTAATGGCTAAGATATACTCTCATCCAATATGTAAGGGTATTTATGCAACTTTATACATATTCACTTCACTTCCCCACCTCCTTATTAGAACTCCTAAGCAAGGTAAAACAAATTTACTTCCGTTACCCCCTACTAAACCCCCAAACAACATTTTATCTTTTCACCTCCATCCCCTACATTTCCTTTCCATTATTTAACTTTCCGTCCCTTTCTCTTAGGGGCTGTTTGGTTGTATGTTTTTACCATGTAAAAGGATGGAAAGTGTAAAAAAGTGGGTCCCAATGTCAGCTTTCATCACTTTCAATTGTTTGTTTGTAGTTGTGAAAATAATGTAAAGTGATTTCATATGCTGATGTGGCTTGTAAAGTGATTTCATAAAAAAAAATGCATGATTTTAGGAGAAAGCTGACATTGAAGTCAGAAAAAATAATAAAAATAATTCTAACCAATATGATCATTTGAGTAGGGACCACTTTTTACACTTTCTAAACAAACAATTAAAGTTACATTTGCAAACCAAACAAGCAATTTATGATTCCAATGGAATCAAAAACAAACAAAGAAAAATATACAAGTGAAATTGATGAGGTGGACAACAACTTTTCAAGTTGTGTCATAAATACGCAACTTTACCAACAACAACCAAACAGCCCCTTAGTAAACTCCCAAACAAAACGTTAAGGTACACTGCTTCGTTTTCTTTTAAAATACTTTTTCAGAGAAAACGATTGGCTTTTAGTGAGAACGAGATGTGCAAGGTTTTCTAAAGCCAAGAGATCACGTGGTGGTATCTGGCGTTCGAGAAGGTACAACGGGTATGGTTTTGAAGGTTGGGGGCCGTACGAATCTTCATCACCCAAACTTGTGTTAATAATTAATGTGTTTTGCTCTTCGCATTATAGGGGGGGGGGGGACACATAACTTGGCATTTTTCAAATTGTGTTTAATTAAGCTTTCTCTTAAGTGTGGATCGTGAGGAAGATATACGATAATATACGATGCTAATTACTTTTCTGTGTATTTGTCATTACTCGAAGGCAGTTACTATATATATATTAGCTTTTCTACACATTGCATTGCAATGTTTTAGTTGGATAAATTGCACATAAATCCCATCCCTTCTCGATACCTTCAGCTGTGCTTAACACACCTCCACTAATTTACTAGAGCACATGGCACCCCTGAATTGCCGATTGCCAGAGTTTAGTACGTAAGTCGAATTGCGAGTTACACCCCTCTTCCATATGAAATTCAGGATGAGCAAGTGCTAATAAACGAGTTCAAGGGTGTTTAGTGCAATTGAAGGCGTAGTTGAAGTGGAGTCATGCGCAATTAATTCGCCCTCGTTTCAATCATACACATCTCATGAGCATGCATATGCGGTACTACTACCCCTCACACGCATATGTGAAGGTTATCTTGATTTTGCACCATAGGGCGTGTTTGGCAAATGTCCTAAAGTTGGACCGAGGCTAGCTAGTCTCGGACCTGTTTTAAACGAAACTAGTTTTGTTTTGGAACAAAGGGGGGAGGTGGTCCAAAACAAAACAAATTTAAAGATCAAAATTAGCATTCTAAAAACTGGGTCAGACTTGGCCTAGTTTCACCCAAACAGAATTTCGTCCAAATGAGAAAACTGGACACATTTTAAAAAGTTGTCAAACGCACCCAATAGTCTATTTATATAGCTTAAAAGACGATGCGTGCCGAGTATTTTTATTTGTAGTTCGTACACGCTAGTGAAAACGACAACGATTTTGGGCCCGACTAGCATACATTATAGAGATATTTTCAATACGTACCTTGGCGTGGCGCGTGTATTTGCCAAAAATGAATTCGTGTCGCTTCATACAGCAAGCAGAGAACCTTTGGGTACAGGTCCCCTGCCTAGACATCAATGATCAATTATTGAAAATTAATTTAATAATTGCTTCCATAGTCTCAGTTATACATCCTCAATTCAAGTAATCTTAACTCTTGTAACGCGTGAACTAATTTTTAAATTTAGTTCCTCTAATCATTAGATCAAAACTCCGAAGTTATGATGATTATAGTTTTATATTAATTCTAACATGCCCCCGCAGGTCGAGGGTCCTTTTTTTTATGGGTCGAAACCTGGACTCACGTAGCGGTATTAATTTTTAGAAAATCCGCATTTAATTCGTGGCCGGCGGCTTTTGAACCTGGGTTGCTTTCATCTAACCATTACACCAAAACTCCGAAGTTATGATGAGGATCAAGGATTATAGTTTTATATTAATTCTAACACTAATCCCCAAACTCCGCATCATATCATATCCCGATACCTACAATCTTTGCTCCCTTTTTTTCTTAGCAAAATGGACTGACTGCCCAAATTTCCCACCGCATAAAAGATGATTGGTTGAATGATAGCTCTGTTACTTGTATTAAAAGAGAAATCTTTAAGAGCATAGACAACGGGGAAAAAATCATATAATTTTAACAGAATATGAAAACAAGAAGAACAATTGCTAGTAATATTAGTAAAGATGGTCATAATTACACCATGCTTTTCTAAACCGCTCTCACACTACGAGAAGGAAAAGTACAGCACGTTTGATCGGTCATTAATTCTGAAATAAAAAAAAAGTTTGAGAGATTGGACCCCCACACTTTTCTCTCTCGTAGTACGGAAGTAGTTGAAATGAAATAATATAGTCATCCTCAGTCGTTAATAAGATACTTCTATTGACTGCGTTCTGTTTGTGTGTGTGTTTGTGTACATATTCTATCATTAGAATTACCCCCCCACACCCCAGTGACCACATTTCTGTACCCGCCCCTGCAAATACTTAAACGCACTACAGATCTGATAACTTATTGTTTACATCATTAACATCTCTTTGTTCCATGAAACTCATGAACGGTACTATTCGCTTGAATTATGGACCCACCGAATGAAACAATATTTAGTGATCCGCGTAACTATTTGTAAGAATTTTCTATTTTGAGAATCTGAAACCAGTCAAAAGCAGTCATACCGCTATCAAAGATGACAGAACACAAAGCACTCAAACAGGCGTGCGGTATTATAAAGGGTAATAGAACAGATAAATAGCTCACAAGATATTTTAAGCGCATGAGTAGATGCTTCAGGCTGCAAAAGGGCTGAAAAGGGTAAATAACCAATTTAAAATACATTTAGTCATTTGTAAATAGCATACTTCAATGGGCTAACCGCGTGTTCCACAACCGCAAGAGTATACAATACAAACCTCTATCCATCTATCTAAGATTTGTTCCCCCACAAACCTTTAAACTAAATAGAATTGTTACAATTGAGCCTTTCATCATGGTCTGAATAACTTGCCCCCAAAAAAAAAATTTAATCAACAATATCACATACACATTTCCGAAGACCAATACATCAAACCCCACCTTAGCTTCATATACACAAAAACTCGAACTTAATAACAAATTGCGAATCTTGGTTTTCATCTCGGGCCAGATAGCATCTCGGCCTGAAGGTTCTCAGTAGAGTCAAGAACCCATCCAGGGTGATGCTGGGCCATGTCGAAATCTTGACGAACCACCTCGACCTTTTGCCATTCCTCCCACCTCTCGGCAAGGCCATCGCCTTCGAGCATTCGTACGACTTCCGACATCTTTGGGCGCTCCCCGGGGGAGCCTTGTGTGCAGAGCAAAGCAACTTGGATGAGTGATTCTACTTCAGCCTCAATATAGTTCTTTTGTAGATCAGGGTCTACTAATTTTTCCAGTTGCTTCTCTTTCAGCAGTCCTTTCACCTGTAAAGAAAAAGTCGTAAGGGTTCAGAAAACTTACACAGTTATGAGACAGTGGTGACCAGTGTATGAGACAGGTCTTGCACACATGCCAAAGTCTGCGCACTTCAATCACACAGCAATTTTCTCAGTAAGCTGATAGTATTTGTCAATGGTAGAAGTTCTGAGCAAAAACTATAAAGGGCCTTTTGACATTAGTCTCTTAAATCTTTAATATTTTGAAATTTGTCCCCCCACATCATTCATCATATTGCTATTAGGTTCCGCAATTTTTTTGAAACTGTCTCAAAATTTAGTACCTCAAATCATTGAAATTGCTATTAGGTTCCCCAATTCTTATAATTTATTTCAAATTAATCCCTCCAGTCAAGAATAGCAGTAGCAAGATATAGGAATCGGAGGACCTGAGCAATTTCAATGATTTGAGGGATTAATTCAGATATTTATATATATATATATATATATATATATATATATATGTTATACATATATATATTAGATATATATATATATATATAATATATATATAATATATAGTGAGTAAATATGGGTATGGCTTGAGTACCGAAGCACCAAACAAAGTTGTGCTTGGTAGTGAGGTGTCAAATCCTCATCCCACTCATTTTACAAATTATGGGAACAAATTGCACATGGTAGTGACAGTGGATGAGGATGTGATCACATCCCTAGCCAACGCACAATGATTTGTGGCTTGTACCAAGCATACTCCATCATTTCTCTCTCTCTCTCTCTTCTTGCCAGTCCTCTCTTCTCTATATATATACTATATATATATATATATATATATATATATATATATATATATATATATATATATATATATATATAAATAAGCCAGACTATAAGTATAAATTTTTGTAAAACATCAGTCTTCAAACAATATCAAATCTTATACATGCTCGCTACCATGTGGTTTTAACCCTTCACATATTCTGAATACCCATGTCTGAGCTTGACGTTGGTGGCAAGTCGTTAAGAGGTGATACATCGAGGAAGCTACTAATTGTAATACATTCATGGCTTCTCTGTCAAGATGGGACACCTAATATCAATTTTCTATAGCAGAAGATCGATCATCCATCAATCAGCTAGTGGAAGGGTAAGCTTAATCAACCTTTTCTATTCTTTGGGTGAAATTATTTGACTATTTTCCCTCAGGAGGTCTATTTGTCAAAAAAATAAAAAATAAAAGAATTCTCTATCTGAGGGTAAAAGAGTCAAGAAAATTGGATGAGTCTATCCGCAATCGGGTGATAGTATAAGGGGTCTTATCTGCAATTATTCATTATTAAATACTTCATAAATTGTAGTTATAACTGACAGGGTAACTGACAGGGTGGAGTCTATTCTATGAGTTTTGCCAACTTTAAAGAATCTTGGTGACTCAGTGCTTGGACATGAAACTTTCAAGAAGATTTGACTACTAATTACATGAATTCTATATTTTCGTTCAGAGATGTGCAAGTTTCCCCAGTCATAGTTGTATAAATACAACTTGCGATTATAGTTAAAAATCATGTTTGTCATGGCATCACTTAGCCTTAAACACATCATGGTGCAACTACTTCTTTAAAGATTGAAGATTCAGACTCTAATAAACTGATTTGGACATTTGACCATTTCCCACTAAACTTGTCTAATTTATACCTCAAAATTTGAATGTCCCAGAGAAAAAACCCACCTAAAAATTGCCTGTATTATTGACAGATCTAAAAGATGCTAGCTTTGATTCTTAAATTAAATGCTTTAAGAGTACACAAAAGTAAAATGAATCAAGCTACTACTTTCGCTTTCTTAGTTATCAGAAACAATATATAGTAAGAAATCCACATCTGCACTTCTCTCTAAAGTCGGTAAATCTCCTGTCAAAGTTGGAAGGTAAAAAATGTTCCATTTCGTTCGAATCTTTATTTCTGTGTTTTATCTCATCCTGGGTACTCTTATGCAAATGGTCAGAAGAAAAAGAGAACATCACCCTAAATAAATGCAGGTAACATACATTAACCAAAAGTAAGAATGAGAGAAGAACATACCCAGTCAAGCAACATAACATATCATCATCATTCGCAGGTAACATACAGTAACCAAAAGTAAAAATGAGAGACAAGAACATACCCAGTCAAGCAACATAACATCATCATCATTTGCAAGGCGAGCAAGATCAAATGCCCTTTGCCCCGTAATGAGCTCCAAAAGCATGATTCCATACCCAAAGACATCAGTCTTCTCGGAAGACTTCCCTGTGGATAGATATTCTGGAGCTATGTGCCCGATTGTACCACGAACAGCAGTTGTTACATGGGTATCCTTGTAGTCCATGAGTTTAGCCAAGCCAAAGTCACCTACAACTGCCTCAAACTCTTCATCTAATAAAATATTTGCGGCTTTGACATCACGGTGAATAATCTTTGGATCACAATGATCATGCAAGTAGGAAAGCCCCCGGGCAGATCCCAATGCAATCCGTCTTCGAGTAGGCCAATCAAGTGGTGGTTCATTTGGAGGGCGCTCTACATGAGAAACACAATATGATCTCAAAGCTTTTAGAGAAATGCGCAGGAATCAGTACCGACTCTTCTGCAAATTTAATTTGCTTTAACCATACAATCAACAATTGAGAACATCGAAATCCTCAAGACCAGATATAACTTGTTCAGATTATTTGGCACATCAAGATTGAAGAAATGGCATCAACTAAAAATAGTATAATTCTGAAATATTTATACAATGTAAACAACCGAATATATGGTGACCCAGTGTTATCAGGCTTGTGGTATGTTTTGGTTCGTGTTACAAATATGGGCACACAGTTACTACTTTTAACTGTACAAAGTATCAGAGTAAGCTTAAACAGGATCTTAACTGGCATGATGATCCACTTGGCAGCACTCCTTTGATGATTTTCATGTTTATGGACGTATTGTTCTTTTTCATATGGATGTAGAAAAGACATACATATAATGTAAAACCAAGATTACCATGCAAGAAACTCTCGTCTTCTTGAAAAAAATAGAAAGCAAGATACTTCAATTAAAAGATACCATTAAAATTCTAATTTGCAGTAATCCGTCAGAGTTCAACTTCAACTTTAAAGTCATGTTGTATTTCCCTAAACTTATTTCACACTTCAAGTTTAAAATTAAAGTTCAAACTTCAACTTTAAAGTCCTAATGTATCTCCCTAAACTATTTCTCAGGTCTATTGAGAAAGTGATAACTACTACAAATACAACAGAATAACTCATGGAATCAATAAGCAATTAGTTCTCTTCTTTTATATCTTAGATTCAACTACTACAAACACAACAGAAGAACTAATGGAATCAATAAGCAATTAGTTCTCTTCTTTTATATCTTAGATCATCAATTTTAGATCCAGATCGGGAACCTAGGTAGCACGTACATTGACACAGTTACAGACACGACATGGCAAATTTGTAAATGTAGGATACGGGGCACGGCTATACATATATATACAGCAAAATGGCCAGATTGGTATATTTTCTAGAGGCTTGGTGACAAGTTGGTATATTTTTTTTAAGTTTTGTCAGATTGGTATAAATTTTCAACTCCGGCGTCATATAGGCCTTAAGTTTGACCGGAGTCAATTTTCCGGCCATTATTCTCACGCGACAGCTCACGTGACTCCGACGTGGCCTTTACGTGGATTCCAGCGTGACAGGTAGTTGGGATGAATAAATTTCGACAAAAGGGAGGTTTATATCTCCGAATAGGGCTTCCATCTTCTTCTTCCTCCTTCTTACTCCATCTTCTTCTTCTTACTCCATCTTCTTCTTCCTCCTAGGGTCAGGGTTAGGTTCAGTGGGAGTTAAATTAGTGATGGATTCGTCATCTTCAAGCTGTCGCTCAAGATCAGTGTCAAGCACGAGCATTGGAAGAAGCAGGCAAGGGTTCAATGGAATAAAAGCTATACGACAGTGGAATGATCTAGCAAAGCAATCTGGGGTGAAGGTTTATAATTGTGGTTTGGATTGCGAATATTTTACTTCTATGACTGATGAAAATCCAGGACGGAGGTTCTACAAATGTCGCAATCAGCATGTAAGTTAAATTTACTTCCTCATTTGTTACAGTAATCAACTGTAGTTTTTACTTAGAAGTTGGACTTTTTTGCGCATCTCACTTGATCATAGTCTCCTTTGATTTTTGAGTAATGATAGGCTGGTGGTTGTGGCATTTGGGAATGGATTGACAAACCAATGTGTAGTGTTGGATGTCAATTGTTTCCACTTCTAAGAGAGGAGATCAATGATTTGAGGAATACGTTGCTGTTGAAGGAGGAGTTACTTCAAATGTGTGAAAATCAGCTAAGAGGATGCAATGAGGACATTTACAAGCTTAAAGAGGATGTCGAATTGTCTCAACACGAGGCTGGTTCTTGTTTGGAAGAAGTGCAGAAAATGATGAAAGAAAGATTAGAATTGCAGGAAAATGTTGCAGAAGAAAAAAGGATTAAGTTTATTTTGTTATTAGGAATGTTTACACTCTGTTTAATTCTGTATGTTGTAATGTGAAGATGGTTGTAATATGAAAGTGGTTGTGATGTGAATAAAGCATAGTATTTTGACAGATTGGTAAATTGAACTCCTAATGTGTGTTGTTGATTGTGCATGAATAAATGAACTTTCTTGATTGTTATATACAGGCATGAATGCACATGAACTGGTGCAATGACTTGTATAACCAAATGTACATGACCTGGTTCAATGACATGAATTCAATTGTACCTGTTGGACCCATATTGCACATGACCTGGTTCAATGATGTCAATAAAGGGATTGGCATGAAGTAGACATATAAATTTTAAACATGCCAAACAAATGAACATCCAGAATACCAAATGTATTAGGTAGAACATTGCTTGGAAACTACTGTGACACGCAACAAAACACAAAATACCAAATGCATGTAAGTTACAGAACTTTATCACATAACATAACACAAAATACTAAATAGAACATGCCCAGATAGAACTGATCAACACACTAAACACAAAATAATGTATAACAACTTTGTTCCCAAAATACAATAACCAGACAGTAACAACTTTGTGCCAAAATAACATTAACCAGACATGAACAACTTTGTCCCAAAATATCTCAGAAGCTGGTTATCTATTGCAGTTAATTACACTCTCATTCCTGAGAGGGTGCAGTCTATGAGGATGGAGCATTAGGTGTCAAATGTATCACATTTACTTGACTATCACCAGGTGCTCTAAATGCCATTTCTCCTTATGGTCCTTGCCACAAACCAAACCCTTCTGGCATCCGTAATTGACCAGCACCACCTCTCCCTCTCCCTCTTCCTCTTCCTCTCCCTCTCCACCCCCCTCCTCTACCTCTTCCTGCCTCAGCGCTGGTTGTTGGAGCTTTGCTTCTTCTGCCAAGGATAATGGATGCTGGCGTTGGAGCATTGATTAGAGGCATGTCATCACATCTAATTTTGTTCAAGCTTCCCTTTGGTCTCCCCTTTTTCCTCACTTGAGATTGTCCTTCATCAACTCTTGTTCCTTGTGATTCCTTCAAGATGGATCAGGTAAGGCTTAAGTTGTTTAATGAACACAAAATACAGCTGCAAAAAAAATAGCTTACTTGTGTAGCTTGTTGCCTTGGTGGTGCAGTGGGGCACTTTCTCCGTGTATGTTCACTTGATTCACAATGGGTGCATCGTCCTTGCACACCTTGCCTTGATGTCTTAAATTGATTTCTTGGACCTTCTGAAGGGTCCCTCCTTCTAGCATGTTTGGGCCTCCCCATTGGCTTCCTAATACTGTGAGGAGGCAACACAGATCCCTCCTGTTGAAGGTCCCAAAATTTGGTACCTTGCACAGGGTTTAACAAGCTCTCATAAGCATTTTTGTAAGCTTCACTTTTGTACCAATGAGCCACAGGGTTTAACAAGCTCTCATAAGCATTTTTGTAAGCTTCACTTTTGTACCAATGAGCAACAAAATCTTCTAGATTCTTTCTCATGAACAATATTGCAATAATGGCATGACAACATGGAATTCCAGTCAAGTCCCAAACCCTACAAGAACAGGTATTTTCACCCAAGTTAACCTCATGGCCAATCCCTCTGTGATGTATCTCAAATCCACTGTAGTCATTTGTTCCCGACCAACGTGTTTGACAGTGCAATTGTTCTTGATATCCCTCTTTGATTTTCTTGCTTATCCTAGGTGCAATCCCACCCACAAATTGTGTAATCAACTTCCTTTTTAACTGCATCCTATCCATCATGGCAAGTCTAATGTCTTCTAGCATAAAAATTATTGGCTTGTATCTTGCAAGAAGGATGAATGAGTTGAAGGTTTCAGACATATTGTCGTCGACACTGTCACATTGGCTATGACATTTAAAATGGGACTTACAGAAGGTGTGAGGATCCCTTGTCATGAAGTCGTCGTATGCCTTTTGAGAGTAATCCTTGAGTTTGCCAGCCTCTCTTGCAAAATCCCCCATGGAGGTTGCCTTCACACAATACCAAAATTGTTTTTGAAGAGTTCTTCCAGTATGTGTTTTCCTCCAATTGGAATAAATGTGTCTTGCACATTGTCTATGCTCCACTTGGGGCCAAACTTCATGTATAGCTGGAACTAAACCCTGGTTAAACAAAAAAACATACCCAAATATGTAAATATGTAGCCCAGATAGAGATTAAATTGAATATGACATGAAATTGATCCTTACCTTTTGTTGGTCTGAAATTACTGTCAATCCCTCTTCCTCTCCCATGTTGAGATCATTGGATAAGATTCTCATAAACCATTCTCAAGAGCTCCTTGTTTCAGCCTCCACAACAGCCCACGTAATTGGCCACATCTGATTATTGTCGTCTCTCCCCACGGCACTTAACAATTGCCCACCACATGCATGTTTAAGAAAGCACCCATCAAGTCCAACTCCCCACGGCACTTAACAATTGCCCACCACATGCATGTTTAAGAAAGCACCCATCAAGTCCAAATATAGGTCTACAATTGTTGGCGAACCCCCTTGCATGTTTAAGAAAGCACCCATCAAGTCCAAATATAGGTCTACAATTGTTGGCGAACCCCCTTTTCATGGCTGAGAACACATGAATGAATTCAGTATGGCCTAAAAAACCTGCACATACAAGCTTTGATAAAACTTCAAAATTTTCTAACAAACACATTTACTTTACCTGCAAAGCACACGTAGAATCTTTGAGAGACTCCTGATTCTGATGAGTCACTTTGATCTGTGACCTTCAGAATGCATGTACTTACATCATTACTCCTTAAGAGCTCTCTCATGTATGCCTTTAACAAGCCATATTGCTTCTTAAACAAACCATCTATTGCATTCAAAGCCCTACTCTTTGCCCTCCTACATTTCCTTAAATCCACTATGATCTCATATTGTTTTTGTATTTCTGCTTTCATGTCTCTGGGCTTGAACTTAGGATCCCTCAGAAAGTTGTCAATAAATTTTCCTGCAAGCCAACCTTCAGTGATTAGCCTATGGTGCATACTATTGATTTTCCAAGCACTAGCATCATCACGACATGGTGTAGCATTTACCTGCCAATGACAGAGTGCACAATTCACATTCAACTGCCTCTTATCATTTTTTCCATAAACAATGTCATAGTGTTGTTGTATGGAGTAATTCAATATTGCTTCTTTTAATATTTCCCTTGACGTGAACTTCAATCCTACTGTTAATTTAATATTTTTTATGTCAACTTCTTCATTAAAAAATGAATACTTGACCTTTGCTGCCTTTTTTTGTAAACTTTGGACAAGAGTTTCATCCTCATCACTTGTCATTATGGGACCTTCATCACCACTTGATCTAGGATCTGATTCATATCCACCATCATAATTTGTAAAAAATTCTGACCATGACTGTTGTTGTGGTTCAGTGGTTGATGGCCCAGGTTCATCAACTGTGTTGTCAGCTCTTGAATGCACTCCTTCATGGGGTGATGTTGGTACATTAGCATTAACCACTCGAGAGGGTCTGACAGTATTAAATTGAAAGGAGTTACCTGCATCAACACCATTTCCCAGTACTGCACCAGAGTTTAAAGCAATGTGGCCCATCTCTTGACTTAGATTCTCCCTATTGCATTACCTAATCTCATTCAGTTTCTCGTCTTCATTACATATAGCAGCTTGAAAGGAATCATCACTGTGAGCACCGTGAACCTCATTCACTGCCTCCCTATCTTCCTGGCCTGGTTCAAGCACACTCTCATTGCCCTCCACATTCACTGTCTCCCTATCTTCCTGGCCTGGTTCAAGCACACTCTCATTGCCCTCCACATTCACTGGCTTCCTAGGTTCATTATTTGGTTCAGGCACACTCTCATTGCCCTCCACATTCACTGTAGGCACTGTCATCCTCTTTCTTTTGCACATTCTTCCTTCTTTTCCTTTGCCATTATTGCTAAACTCATCAAATAGTTCATCTTCATCAAAGTCATCATCTGCAAATGCCTCCCTAGGATCCATTCTGTAATTCTCATCCTCCACAGAGTCGTCACTATCACTAGATGGACTTGCCTGCTGTTGTGCACTACACTGATCATCTAAAGAGGCTGAAAATAATGCTTCTTGTTGTGGCAGGGTTTCACTGGAGGTTGACAACTTGGTTCGAACTCGTCTTCGATCTCATCTTCACCTCTGTCGAAGCTCGAATTCGTTGAAGCTCGAACTCGTCGAACTCGTCAAAGCTCGAACTCGTCTTCGATCTCATCTTCACCTCTGTCGAAGCTCGAATTCGTTGAAGCTCGAACTCGTCGAACTCGTCAAAGCTCGAACTCGTCTTCGATCTCATCTTCACCTCTGTCGAAGCTCGAATTCGTTGAAGCTCGAACTCGTCGAACTCGTCAAAGCTCGTCTTCAACCTCCGTTCTCTTCCTCATTGAAGATCAAACGCGTCGAAGCCCTTAGGAGTCCGCTTCATCACTGTAACAAGATAAAGGACTAATTAAACCCATTTCAGAGATGACCTTTGGTTTAACATTAATAGCGTTATTTGCTTATTTTATTCATCATTTCATAGATGACCTTTGGTTTAACATTAATAGCGTTATTTGCTTATTTTATTCATCATTTCATAGATGACCTTTGGTTTAACATTAATAGCGTTATTTGCTTATTTTATTCATCATTTCATAGATGACCTTTGGTTTAACATTAATAGCGTTATTAATATTAAATTATTAATACTGTTGCTCAAATCAGTGAATGGTTTTGGTGTTTACCGTGTTTTCCTTGTAGTCTATACACAGTGCATTTTTTCAGTTTTTATGTATTTGTTTCTTGAGAATTTCTTTTATGGAAAACTTTTACTTAGTCGTTAAAAAATTAACAGTGTTTATCGTGTTTTCCTTGAAAGTACAGTTTGGATAGCATATGTGTTGGTATTTTTGTATTTATGCATTGTTGATTGAGTATATATATTTATCTTCAACTTCAAGTATCACAATTAAAAAAAGAAAAACCGCCCAGAAGAAAAAAACCGCCCAGAAACCGCTTAGGCGCCCGCCTAGGCGTCTAAGCGCTGGGCGCCAAGTCCGGCGCCCAGGAACGCCCAGCGTTTAATGTAACATTGCTGGAGGTTGACAACTTGGTTGCCCTCCTGGGTGTTAGTTTCTTCCTGGAGGTTGAAGGATATGTTACCTTCCTCTTGGGTGTTGCTTTCTTGGGTGTTCGTTTCTCATTGGCACTAGCAGTGGCTCTCCTGGGTGTTGATCTCCTGAGTCCTGCTACTGTCCCCTTCTTTTTAGGAGTGGTCGCTTTTGGCATTTGCATATCTTCTTGCACACCTTCCAACAACAGCACATTACAATCTTCCATAATAACTTCTGCAGGTTGATCAATGCCATGTTCAACATAGATTTCAATTGCCTTCACCCTTTCTGCATGTTCTAGCATTTCAATGAAGGAACATTCATCACTTAGAGACCTTAATCCACCATTTGCAACCCCTACACCAGGAACACAGTAGAACAAACCGTTGACATTGTTATACCCAATTGCACTAATTTTATTCATCAGTCTTTCTATGCTCAGATCCTCTTTGTCTATAAACCTAACATCAAATCTACCACCAATATAATCTTCAACCCAACCCATCGGAAAACTTCCTCCATGTCTGATTTTAACCAATATTTGGACACTCATCTGCAATATCACAATAAAAACCCTAACTCCTCACTAAACCCATCAAAAAACCCTAATTTACAATAAACCCGTCAAATTTCCATGTATTAGTTTCAAAAATATGAAATTTCCACTCACCTTTTGCTCTGCGCCAAAGACGATGAAGTAGATGGAAGCCTTGAACTTCGATCGTCTGCAATTTGGGGATCGTTACGCTCTAGGGTTCTACGATTTTCTTCTGTAATTGGGGAAGAGAGGGAAATTAAAGAATGAGAGTGAATTACTGCTCTTCTGCGATTTTCTAGACAAACCGCTCACTTATTCCCGCTAAATATCGCCACGCTGGAATCCACGTAAAGGTCACGTCGGAGTCACGTGAGCTGTCGCATGAGAATAATGGCCGAAAAATTAACTCCGGCCAAACTAAAGGCCTATATGGCGCCGGAGTTGAAAATTTATACCAATCTGACAAAACTTAAAAAAAATATACCAACTTGTCACCAAGCCTCTAGAAAATATACCAATCTGGCCATTTTGCCCATATATATACACACACATACACATATAATTTACATTAAATCGACTATTAAATTAGAATACCTATGACATTTGTATGTTTCTTTCTATTATCTATAATAATTAAGAATCAAGTTAAATCAAACTAAGAATAAGTTTTAACAACAAAAGTTTAGTTTTGATCACATGGGATAATACAATGGGTATTTTTCAAATATTTAATGGGTTTCAGTTTTTGGGCTAAAAAACCAATTGGTTTTGAACCCAACATTACCAAAGATACTAGTTTACGGTTTAAGTAATAGGGAAATTAGATTTTGCTTTGAACCACACATGTCCATGGTGTGTCCATGGAGAATCTGTGTCCGACACGACACGGCATCCAAAACAGTGCCTACGTGTCGAACACGGACATGGCATCCAAAATGCCATGTCTGAGTAACCTAGTCAGGAACGCAACACAAGTCAATATGCACGAGCTAGATTGTGGTTTGACGAAGAAGTGAATCGGTTAAAACTAGGTCAACTATGCAAATATAGATACTGTTTCACGTGGTTAATTTGTTGCATAATATGCCAAAACTCAGCTAAATAGCATTTAGGATTTAAGATAAGATTCTAATCCACACCACTCCAGTTAGATCAAATTGTTATAAGTTAGTTTAATCTTAATCTTAGGGCTGGTGCAAAGGTGAAGGTGGAAAATGTTAACGGTAGTACAGAATTATTTGGTTTGGAGTATAATTTGAACCTAGACGAGATGCAGTTTGTCCCATTTTGATTTCACACAAATCAAAGACTATTCTGACGACTAAAATAGGCTGTTGCTAGTTTACATTGACGTAATTGATCAAACTTTAGCAAAGATAGCACCTGCCTTGGCTCAAGAATCAGACGTGGATTGGACCCTCAAGTGGAGACCAAGTATATTATCATTTACAAATCTAAGATCACCACCAGCAAACTCATATACGGTAGTTGTTCTAATCTGCTCCACTGAAAATGGCATCAATTTAAATGGCACAGGTCTACAGCAGGAAACCTTGATTAAAGGACCGACAGTTATTCGCAATCAACTGGCAGTAGTCATGTTTTGTTTCAAATTCCTGGCTAGCAAAAAAAAAAAAAAAACAAACAAACAAACAAAAAACCCAAATTTCCCCTGGCCTAGGAAAAATCCAAAGAATAGATGCAAAGGAAAGAATGGAAGGATTTCTCTTGTGACTGTCAAAAATATAAGCAAACAACACATTCAAAAAACATAAGATGAATATCTTAAAAAAATCATATGCAACTTGAGGCATATCACGAAATGAAATATACTGTTATAAACATTGGCTTTTCAGTCTTAATGTACTGCATTCTATAACAGCTGAACTGGGTCATGGCTATGTTATTAAGTAATATTTGAAATTCGAGCAAGGATAATCACCTCTTAAACATGAAGCAACACTTCCATTAGCCATGTAAGGATATACAAGCAGCCTTTCTGTGGGTGTCATGCAGAACCCCCGAAGCCGAAGAAGGTTTCTATGCACAGCCATACTGATCATCTCAACTTCTGTCTGAAACTGAAGCTCTCCACCTGGTGTGCGCTCTTCTTTTAACCTCTTTACGGCAACCAAAGAACCATCAGCAAGCCTCCCCTTATAGACCTTTCCAAACCCACCTCTTCCCAAAATGTTCTTGTTGCTAAAACCATCAGTGGCAACTTGCAGCTCTCGTAGAGAAAACCTTTTAAGCTGGCCCAGATGAACTTCTGGATCTTCTTCAGCTACAAGAGGTAAGGCCAAACAAATTTAGATTCCACCTGAATTAACCAATATATGGAGTAAAATGGCACCAGCTTTCTAATGTATACTCACCAGGGACATCAAAGAAGTATTCTTGAGGCTTACGGCGACGCCACCATGCAAAGCCAATAGCAGGTGCAGCAAATAATAGAGCAGCACCTGCAGCAACTCCACCAGCAATTGCTCCGGTACTAGAGGTGCCACTTCCTTTTGACATTACATGCAACAGTCACTAAATCCAGTCATATTTTGCCAATTCAAAATTGAAGCATATAAACTTTTGGATTTTCTATATGTACCATCAACATGACATGATGCCCTCTTAATTTTTGATTTGAAACATTTCACAGCCAACTTAGCTCTTTTCTAAGATAAGCTTATGAGCTTAAATCAACCATAACTCACTTTCAGTTGGTTGGATACATTTCAAGCTAGTCAGTCAGATTCAAAAAAGAATACTTGAATAAGATCTTTTGAATCAGAGTTTTGGATCTTAATAAAGTTTCAATCTGTGGCTATCCACAACCAAAGCTACCCAAGCTTCTGCATGACAGAGGGTTGGTCATAGAAAGACCAAGTTTGAATGATCATAGAAAGACCAAGCTTAAAACAAAAACAGTAGGGTGACTAGGGTTAGCACAAAAATGCTTCATTCAGGAACACAACCTTTGAGTTTGATGCTTGAAATACAACGATTCAAATAAAGGATGTAATGTGTCTGACGAATAAGTGGAGAATTACAGGTGATATTGGTCGGGAAAGAAATTGCCCTGATTTCCCCTGATTGTCCCAACCACAGAAAGGAAAGCAAAACAGTACCTGTAGATGTTGGTGGTGCTGGAGGAACAAATGGTGGTGGTGGAGAAAATGGAGGTGCTCCAGGACAAGGTTTTGTTGTACCAGGGCCACACAGAAGAGGGTTATTAGCAAAACTGCCAAATAAGCAACCATATTTAGGAAACGTCCCATAAAGTATGGAAAAACACAATTGCCGAACCATCAATAAAAATCATAAGAAAGGCACCTGATAGGGGTAAATAATGAAAAGGATCCATTTGATGGAACCTCCCCTGACAAGTTGTTGTTTGACAGATCCCTGCACGTTTATTAACAAAGAATTAATTGACACGGAATGATGTAAAGAAACTTACAGAACTTGTAGCGCGCTAATATTTGTTAATGATTGCGGAATGTTACCCGACAAACTGTTATTGTTTAGCCGACTATCCTTACACAGAATTTGCAGTGAAGATACAATTAGTACATGGACAACAGTTTCTCAGAAATATACTAAAAGTAAGGACAAAAAATGTAATTGAATAAGGGGAAAAGTTGCAAAAAAGAAAGTTTCTAAGGTCAAAAGCTACTAACAATTTCATTTGTTTTTTAAAGGTAAGATTTTGCAATCAAACTTGAATCTATACTGCCAGAGAAACCTCCTTTCCGATAGGTTCTAAATTCAGTATCCATCACTCTCACTCACAAGCATATGTAAGATTATAGACCTTACATCTCTCTTTGTTCCTACTTTTTGTTTCATTTCTGCTCCACCATATAGCAAGCATATGTATTTAATGCTGTGCAGTGTGAAACATTGTTTCTATTCACGTATCTGTAAGTTCTCCATATAGAAAAGCCAAAGCATGTATAATACCAAAGATAAAATACCACTCCTGCAATAGTTCATCATCTCCTAGAAACCTTTTGTTACCAGAAAAAGAGAAAATAGAGCAAGATTACCATCAAAGAAATTCATGTTATGTCAGTTACATCATACATGGGCACTCCTTAGCAAATAACAGGTATGTTTGCTCCAGTGAAAACCAATGGTCGAGTTAACTGTGATAGGAGTTCATAAGCTGTAAGAGTCACTCGTGAAATGGCAACTGCAATAAATGCTTAGATGCAAGATGCAGCAGCAATAAGAAAAAAGAAAACAAAGGATACCAAAATTTGTGCCACTTTACGTTTCAACATGTTGAGTAGATAGTAAATGCAAAAAAGAAATAAAGTAAATACAAGAAAAAAAGGTTTAGGAGTTATCATACAGAAAACGAAGATTTGTGAGTTTCCCCAGAGTGTCAGGTATCTGGCCCGTGAAACTGTTCAAGTACAGATCCAAACTCACTAGGTTCGTCAGATTACCCAGGTCACTAGGAATTATCCCGCTAATGTTGTTACTATAGAGTTCCCTGTAACAGAAAATTGTTGGAAAAGTTACCAATGTGAGATTTACAGCAAAGAGAACTTCAATTGTTGGTTCAGAGAAAACCATTACTGAACTATGCTATGCACAACTAAGATGCATAAAACCGTAATGGTTGAAGGTTAAGTTCTAACGAAATCTACACTGAGAAAAGGGAAGGTACCCACTTTCATTAAACTTCCTGATATAGCTAGACTGCAAATTGGCTGAAGAGTAATTACTTATTATGTAGCCTGTGTTGCTTTCTGCAAACTACTTAAAGAATACATAGAGAGGTATTGAAGTTTTGTCTTGATTAAAGGTTCAGTGATGCCCTATGTCTCATCTAATAACATTACATATTTTGGATGTTGATAACTTGGTCTAGACAGCTCTGATCAGATATATCTAATACTTTTGTTTCATGACCTATTCGTATGGGATTTAAAGTGTAGCTAAGGATGAATATGACAGGAAATTATTAGTGTTATTTCAGAACTGTGCTGCAAGATTCCTGTAAATGGACTTTCATGATAATTGTTTTCAGAGGTCCATTCTAAAGACCATCAATGACTAATCCGAGATGTTTCTCAAACTCTGTGGTTTTTGAAGTTCCAATTATATTTGTAACATATAAAGCATTTTTATCAGATAATCTTCTAAATAAGCATTTTTGCTAATAAATTTTTAATCATATTGTTATGCTGTTGTATATTTAATAGTTTGCAGGAAATACGTATACAGTTTAAAGCAGGAGTATCCAGGCACCATATGAACGGGCATATTTGCCTGTATCGTATAACTTCTCATGTTTGTAAGGAACAATGTAGGTCCAAATACTATTTACATGAGTCGTACTATTGAAGTTTCAAAATAAGTATCAGGAGTAGATTTGCAATCTGAGAAATTTATTGATTACTTTTTAGATTCAAAAATCAATATTCACTAGAAAAGGCCGAGAGAAAATTGGATAACATGTGTTTCATTGACACGGGTTTTCTATACTTTTTCTTATTGAAGGATACATTTCAAAATCACTATGTAACAATAAATACATGAAATAATCACCTTCTTAAAATGCTACATAAGAAATCAGTATTTGGCAATTTACTATTTACTACAACAAACGGGACACTCACAGGTATTGCAAATTTCTAAGTTGTCCGAGTTGGGGAACCAGAGTGCCCGATAACTGTGCATTTCCAAGATCGCTGAAAAAAAGAAAAAGATAATAGAAAATACAGTCACGTAATCATATATAAGCATAAAGATACACAAGTTACACTGAAACCATCCACTTACACTCTAATAACACTGTTGTCATTATTGCATGTGACGTGAAACCATGTGCATGGATTGACCAGTGTTGGATCCCAACTCTGCAACACATTATTAGGATCAGTTAAGCTGGTCCGTAAACTGTGCAATGCATCACCTGTTGGTACAGAAGCAGAATACTATCAGAGGTCAGAATACTTTAGCAAATGGTAGGAAGAACATGTGAAATACCAAATAAAACAAGAAATTTTGCATACATCCATCAGTAAACAACCAGATGGAGTTTTCCTTTTCTGATGGGAGGAGGCGATTGAAGAAATTAGTTACATTTACACAAGAGATAGTTAACTCAAAGGAGATAAGAATGTTCAGTCACTCAGTCAGCATATATAACATAACATGGAAACACCAATCAAAATGTTGCATGAAGAATTCTCTAGGAGATTTCATTGCATTTTGTTAACTAGATCGAGCTCCTATAACCAATTTAGTAATCCAGCAGGCAGCAATAGTTAGCAAGCAAACATTTCTCCACTATTCCTTGGTCGTTAACATCACTATATATAGATGTCAGGCTAGTATCGACCAAAACTGAAGCTCCATTCCCCGCCAATTAATTCAAGCTAATGATTAATGCAATGCCTCGATAACCCAGAATCACATATTTGTACTAATAGAATCACTTAATGATGCCTTCAACTTATTTGCACCGAACAGTACAATGTGGTCCACAGAATTTGCTGAAACTATGATAAGAAAACGAACCAAATAAAAGCTTTGTACAATCCTCTTTTGAACCAAAATAGCAAATATCAGCATTGCCTCGCACCAGTCTCAAATCCTAAGCCCCACCTTCCCAATTAAATAACCCAACACAGTCTATCCTTTAAACCCAGAAGCTACCAAATTTAGTAAAGAATTTAGCAAAAAAATCAACTAATTTCAGTCAAACAAATCGAAATGGGGAAACAAATTTAAACATTTAGCATAAAAAAAAATCGAACATCTTAACAAAATCTGAGCTTACCTTCGGTGTTAGCAAGAACCCTAGCTAAAGGATTGAAGACCAAGATCAACCACAAAAACCAAGGCACAATGACTTCTCGATCCATTACAGCAACTTCTTCAGCTAAAAAAATCTCAGATCCATACGATTCCAGCAACTAGAACCCTAATTCTACAAATCCTAGCAACAACCTCAAATCCTCCACTGTTTTTTTACCAGAAAGCGAATGATTCGATCGGGATCGGAATCGGACTCCAACGTCAGCAGAGATTGAATGATTAGGGATTCGAGAGTGGCTCAAGATGAAGATTCGACGAATTTCTCCACTTTCTCCCCCTTTATCGGTGAAATGCGGGATTTTTTTTCTAGCTAACTTTTTCTCTATTATTTTTTTTTTTTTTTTTTTTTTTTAGTGAGAAAAAAAAATCGCTGGAGTACTGAAGCTTTAGCTGCCCAGAAATGTTGCCCGCTGCCCGAATCGAGTCAAAGTCCCAGCCTGTAGGTTTTTTATTTCCAAACCCAAAGTTTCACCTAATTTATTTCTCAACTCATCCAGGTTCTAAATCATTCTTAAACCCAAAACATCCCATGGTATCATTTTTTTACCATATTTATTTAGTTTTCTATCAGTTTTTAATTTTTTTCAATAAAGTTTCTTTTTTTTTTTTTATAGTTTGTTGTGAATTGTTGTGTGGGTGTCAGGATAAAATTATTACAGTTCGGGTTTTTATCAAAAACCCTTGCAAAGCACGGGCAGCACGCGGTCAAGGATGTGCGGGCCCCACGTGTCCACGTCGGACCAGTCAAACGCGTTATTGGATATGTTAAGTTAGCTTTTTTTGGCACCTGTTTTCCGTGCACTCAGAACTTACCTCGTGCTCTGTGGGGCCCCCCATTAAGTTGAATGGAGGCGGGGGTGCGCGGAATACTGTGCAAATTCCCTTCCCCGTTATGGCTTGAGCGTGCAAACGGTCGTGCTTGAACAGTATTGGTTAGGGGGGGCCCACCATGGTTTTTAAGTGGGAAAATGATGGTTTTTATAGCTCGACTTGACATTATCTACTTTTTTTTATTATTTTATTTTTATTTTCAAGTGATAATTTATGAATTCTTTTTCGCGTTGGATTTGTTTTGAAACGTATTTTTAAGTCGTTGTCTTCTGCCTAAAATAGTTTTGAAAAGGTTGCTCGGGAGAACTAGCATTAGGTAAAATGTATCTATTACTGTTAGGGTCTGATCGTTTGCCTTAAAAAAAATTGGAAATCAAAGAAATAGAAAACTATTTCTAAAAAGAATTGTTTTGGAAGTGTTTGGTTTGCTAAAAAAAAAGAAAGAAATCAAAGAAATGGAGATGAAATGATGTTAGTTGTCACATTATTATTGGATGATGTGAGTGATTTTTTAAGAAAACTAGTTTTGATGTAGTTTGGTTGGCGAAAAAAAATAAAGAAATGAATTATAAGAAACCTATTTCATGTAGTTTGTTGATTTCTTTTGTTTGGTTCATTCTTAAAAATAAGAAATGAAATGAGATGAGATGAGTTGTCATTGTATTATTGGGTGGTGTGACCCACACTTTAAGAAAAGTATTTTCATAACTTTTTGGGATGAAAACAAAGAAATGAAATGTTAATGTGATGAGGTGAATTGTTATAATATTTTATTGGATGATATGAGTGATTTGAAATGATGAGAAGATATGAGTTGAGTGATGTTTGGATGAAAATAATATTTTATTAGATGTGATGGAAGAGTTGTTAGATGAAAATAATATTTTCTTAGATGTGATGGATGAGTGGTTAGATGAAAATAATATTTTATTAGATGATGTGGATGAATTGTTGGATGAAAATAATATTTTATTGGATGTTGTGGGTGAGTTTTAGGGATGGAAATGGAGGAAATAGTACTTTTTGAGATTTTCACCTTTTCCATTTCCATTTCTTGGTTTTTAGGAAATAACCGAACAGACCCTTATTGATGCGCGAGGTAAAATGTATCTATTACTATTTATTTATTAAAGAAAAGCTAATTTTTCTACCCCCAAGTGATTACGAACTCCCGTTTCGTGTTCTTCATGATCATCTTATTAACTACCAGTAACTGTCTTTAACATCCTACTTATTCATTCCTCCAAACTTCTCATTATCTATTAACTTAAAAGGTTGAATTGTGCATGCACGCATATAGCGTCTACAAGAAATACTAGTATTATATTACTTTAAGGTGTTTTTAACTAAAGTTTTTTTTTAACTACGGACGAACATAACTCATTGTTTCAAAAACTCGACACATTGGACATCCTCTGACGTGATATCACGGAACTTTCATGGCATCTCATCTACCAAATAAAAAGTTTAAAATGTGAAGAAGAAGAATTGAATGGCTGCTAATATTCTTTATTTAATATTTGTTGGTG